ATCAGCTCAGCGCGCTGGCTGTGGTGGCCATTTTGGGGGTGAACCAATGGAAGGAAGACCTTTCTCTCTGTCTCTCTCTCACTGTCTAACTCTGCCTGTCAAAAAAAAAATAAATAAATAAGTTAAGAAGCAATAATGTGGATCAGGGTATACACTGAGTATATAGTAGACTTAATGAAACAGGGTGGCTGGGGGAGGGTATTTGGCCTACGGGTTAAAATGCTGGTTTAAAGGCCCGCGTACATAGCTGGCATTGTGGCACAGCAGGTTAGGCTGCGGCCTGTGATGCTAGCACCCCATATAAGCACTGGTTTGAGTCCCTGCTGCTCCCCTTCCAATCCAGCTCTCAGTTAATGCACCTGGGAAAGCAGCAGCAGATGATCCAAGTATGTGGACCCCTGCTACCCACGTGGGAGAACTGGAGTTCCATGCTCTTGGCTTCTGCCTGGCCCAGAACCAGCTGTTGCTGCCATTTGGGGAGTAAATCAGCAGAAGGAAGATCTCTCTCTCTCTCTCTCTCTCTCTGCCCTTCAAATAAATGAAATGTCTTTTTTTTAACTTTTTTTTTTTTGACAGGCAGAGTGGACAGTGAGAGAGAGAGACAGAGAGACAGAGAGAAAGGTCTTCCTTTTGCCGTTGGTTCACCCTCCAATGGCCACCGCGGCCGGCGCACCGCACTGATCCGAAGGCAGGAGCCAGGTACTTATCCTGGTCTCCCATGGGGTGCAGGGCCCAAGCACTTGGGCCATCCTCCACTGCACTCCCGGGCCACAGCAGAGAGCTGGCCTGGAAGAGGGGCAACCAGGACAGAACCCGGCGCCCTGACTGGGACTAGAACCCGGTGTGCCAGCGCCGCTAGGTGGAGAATTAGCCTATTGAGCTGCAGCGCCGGCCGAAATAAGTCTTTTTTAAAAAGTTAAATTTGTCATGCCTGACACTGTGGCATAGTAGGTTAAGCTTCCGCCTGTAGTGTCGGCATCCCATATGGGTGCTGGTTCAAGTTCCAGCTGTTCCACTTCCAATCCAGCTCCCTGATAATGGCCTGGGAAAGCAGTGGAAGGTGGTCCAAGTGCTTGAGCCCCTGAAACCATGTGGGAGACCTGGAGGAAGCTCCTGGCTCCTGGCTCCTGACTACAGCCTGGTCCAATCCTGACCACTGTGATCACCTCAGGAGTGAAACAGCAGATAGAACAGCTCCCTCACTTTCTGTCTCTCCCTCTCTATCTCTGTAACTTTGCCTTTCAAATAAATAAATGTTTATTTATTTGTATGAAAGGCAGATATACATATACAAAGAGAAGGAGTGAGACAGAGAGATCTTCCATTCACTGGTTCACTCCCCAAATGGCCACAATGGCTAGAGCAGCCAGGACTCAAACTGGTGCCCATATAGGATGCCAATACTGCAGGCAGAGGCTTAACCTTCTATGCCACAATGCTGGCCTTTTTTTTTTTTTTTTTAAGATAATAAATCTTGAAGAAGAAGGAGGAAGAGGAGGAGGAGTTGGAGGAGGAGGAGGAAGAAGAAGGAGGAGGAGGAGAAGAAAGAAAGAAAGAAAGAAAGAAAGAAAGAAAGAAAGAAAGAAAGAAAGAAAGAAAGAAAGAAAGAAAGAAAGAAAGAAAGAAAGAAAGAAAGAGGGAGGGAGGGAGGGAGAGAGGGAGACACTGTGGCCTAGCTGACAAAGCCACTACTTGTGGAGCTCCAGTTTGAGTTCTGGCTGCTCGACTTCTGATCCAGTTCCATGTTAATGCGCCTGGGAAAGCAGAAGATGGCCCAAGTCCTTTGACCCCTGCATCCACTTGGGAGACTTGAAAGAAGCTCCTGGCTCCTAGCTTCGGATTGGTCCAACTCTGGCTCTTGCAGGCATTTGGGGAATGAACCAGCAGATGGAAGATTTCCTCCACTTTGCGGCGCCGGCACACCGGGTTCTAGTCCCGGTCGGGGCGCCGGATTCCGTCCCGGTTGCCCCTCATCCAGGCCAGCTCTCTGCTATGGCCAGGGAGTGCAGTGGAGGATGGCCCAGGTGCTTGGGCCCTGCACCCCATGGGAGACCAGGAAAAGCACCTGGATCCTGGCTCCTGCCATCAGATCAGCGCGGTGCGCCGGCTGCAGCGGCGGCCATTGGAGGGTGAACCAACGGCAAAGGAAGACCTCTCTCTCTGTCTCTCTCTCTCACTGTCCACTCTGCCTGTCAAAAATAAAAAAAATAAATAAATAAATAAATAAAAATTATTTGCATGAACAAAAGCCATCCACAGGGGTTGGCCCTGTGAAGTAGTGGGTTAAGCTGCTACTTGCCATGCTGGCATCCCGTATTGGAGTGCCAGTTCCAGTTGTGGATACTATGCTTCATGTTCAGCTTCCTGTTAATGCACCTGGGAAGGCAGCAGATGGTCCAAGTGCTTGAGTGCCTGCCACCCATGTGGGAGACCAGGTTGGAGACTTTGGCTCTTGACTTTAGCCTGCCCCAGATCTGGCTGTTGCAGTCACTTGAGGAATAAACCAGCAAATGGAAAGTCTCTTTATCTGTTTCTTCTTCTCTCTCTGTCACTCTTTCTAATAAATAAATAAATCTTAAAAAAAAAAATAAAAGGATAGGGGCCAGTGTTGTGGCACAGTGGGTTAAGTCACCACCTGCAATGCTGGCATCCCATATGAGCACCAGTTCAAGTCCCACTTCCAGTCCAGCTCCCTACTAACGCATCTGGGAAAGCAGTGGAAGTTGGCCTAAGTGTTTAGGCCCCTGTCACCCACATGGGAGACTCAGATGGAGTTCATGGCTACTGGCTTCTGCCTGGTTCAGACCGACTGTTGCAACCATTTGGGGAATGAACTAACAGATGGACGATTCTCTCTCTCTCTTTCTCCCCTCCTCTTCCTCTCTCTATACAACACTGCCTTTCTTTTTTTTTTTTTTTTTTTTTTTGGGACAGGCAGAGTGGTGGACAGTGAGAGAGAGACAGAGAAAGGTCTTCCTTTTGCCGTTGGTTCACCCTCCAATGGCCGCCACGGCCGGTGCACCGCGCTGATCCGAAAGCAGGAGCCAGGTACTTATCCTGGTCTCCCATGGGGTGCAGGGCCCAAGCACTTGGGCCATCCTCCACTGCACTCCCGGGCCACAGCAGAGAGCTGGCCTGGAAGAGGGGCAACCGGGACAGAATCCGGCGCCCCAACCGGGACTAGAACCCGGTGTGCCGGCGCCGCAAGGCAGAGGATTAGCCTAGTGAGCCTGCAGCGCCGGCCTAACACTGCCTTTCAAATACATAAACTAAATCTTTTGTTAAAAAGAAAATAATGGATAATGGCTGAACATACCAATGAGTAAGTGGAGATGAAGATGTGCAAAGATAGAGGAAAGGATGGAAGCAGGGAAAATGCGCTGAGGAAGAGATAAAGATGGGTGGACACCACACGCTACTTCAGGCTTTGATGTGGAGCTTCTAAAACTGGAATGATAGGAACGGCCTTCTCCCTTAGCTCCTGTTCTTGGATCTGCCGTGGAGAGCGTCTGGTGCTCCAGACCCATGGATGGGAATCCATCTGGAACACTTGCGGTGATTCTACTGCAAACTCTGTACAAACATCTGCCAGACTGTGTTCTGTCACTCACAGCCCCATTTCCTCTTTCCCTCCTTACATGTGTGTTCCCCTAAATGATACTCCATGCTCAAGTGACTTATTTTATTCTCATTTTGGGGTGAAGATTCTGTTTCAGTCTTGGATCTAGGCTTCCAGTTAAGACGTGGTCAGGTATCAACAGCACAAGTGAGCAGGAGTTAGTGTTGGAGGGATAGGGTGGAAAAAAAAAAGACGATGAGTGGGTATTTAGACACATGAATGGATCTATAGATGTAAACATGGGTAGGTGGATGCGTGGATGGATGGACAGATGGATAGATGAAGAAAGATACAGGCCTACAAATCATATACTCTAAGGCTGGGAGTAGAAAACAGAATACCATCCCACTATAGTCTCTCCTGAAAGATCTTCTTTTCAGGTCTCATAGGTCAGGTCTTGCATGGAAATACCATGTATTGTCTTTGACCAACCCAGTACTCTGCCTTTCTCACTTTAGTTCTCAAAAATAACTGTAGAATGTGTTGGGAATGGGACATCTTGAGATAAGGGGGAACTGGCTGGAGAGCCCAGGCTAGAAACAGGATGTCAATGAAATCACATCCCCTGGGGTGCAGAAGCCCCTCAGCTACTGTGCAAATAGATAGACAAGATTTTATCTGCCTATGGGTATGGGGCCACGTCTCACAATGAATCTCAACTGTCTGTTACTTGAGGTCTGGATAATATTCTAGAATGAATGACTCACGGAACTCAGGAAGGTGCTATGCTTACATTTTTAAAAATATTTATTATTTACTTTTTTGTGTATTTATTAGGCAGAGTTACAGAGATAGAGGAAAAGAAATCTCCATCTACTGGTTCATTCCTCAGATGGCCTCAACAGTTGGGCTAGGCTGAAGCCAGAAGCCTGGAACTCCATCTGGGTCTCCCATATTGGTGGCAGGGGCCCCAGTACTTGGGCCATCTTCTTCTGCCTTCCTAGGCTCATTAGTGGGGAGCTAGATTGAAGTGAAGCAGCCTGGACTCAAACTGGTGCGCATATGTGATACTGGTGTCGCAGGTGGTGTGGCTTAACCAGCTGGGCAACGCTGGCACCACTTACAATTTTTTATAAAGGGTATGTATCAGGAACAGCCAAATGAAGAGGCACGTAGGATGAAGTCTGGAAGAGTCTCAAATGCAGATGTTTGTGCTGTCTCTCCCTCTCTGGGGAGACAGAGTGCGCCACCCTCCCAGCACATCAATGTGTTCACAAAGCAGGAGGTTCTATGAGCTTTGGTGTTCAGATTTTTTTTATTGTGATTTCATTATGTAGCCATTACTAAACTGTTGGACACAGGTGAATGCAATCCCCAATCCTTCTCCACTCCCTAGAGGTCGTCGTGCTGGCTCAACGTCCCCACCTCCTAGATACATAGTTGGTCTTTCTGGTAACCAGCCTCCTTCTGGAGTCATCTGATCTCTCAGGCTGAACTCTGATGTGATCCAAGCACCTAGGAAAGACACTCCTCCCATTAGTGATGCTCCTTAATCTATGATGGGATTATATCTGGATGAATCCATTATAAATTGAAAATACACTTAATACCGTTAACCTAGCAAACATCATAACTTAGCTGCCAGTACACTGTAGGGTATCAATTGTTCATCCTCATGAGACTACAACATTGCTGGCTGGGGAAAATTCAACTTAAAATATGGTTTCTACTGAAACTATATTACTTTCTTCTCTCTCTCTCTCTTTTTAAGATGGATTGATTGATAGATTTGAGAGAGGCAGTTACAGGGAGGGAGGGAGACAGAGAGAGAATCTTCCATCTGCTGGTTCACTCCCCAGATGGCCACAATAGCCAGGGCTGGACTAGGCCAATGCCAGGAGCCTAGACCACCACCTAGGTCTCCCATTTGAGCCATCTACCACCACTTTCCCAGGTGCATCAACAGGGAGCTCTATCAGAAAAAGAGCAGCCAGGGCTCAAATCGGTGCTAATATGGGATGCCAGTAAAGCAGGGGATGGCTTAACCCACTGTATCAGAATGTCAGTCCCATGTGTATGGTTTTCACATCATCAAAAGTCAGAAAAACTGTGAGTCATTGTAAGTTGGACCCTTCAAAAGCCAGGGACCACCTATACTTGGGAAATTCCAAATGTTTACAAAGTTTTCTCAGAAACCAGCAACAAAAACCAGACAAATTCTTTATTATACGCCAGAAGACATGAAAAAGACCCAGATCTTTATTATACACCAGAAGGGAGGAAATTGCGAGACACAGATAATAAGGGAGCCGTAAGTAGGAGATAACCACAAACTCATACACGTACATTCACAGGACCCCTCCCCACCCCTGCCCAGTATGCAGGGGCTTGCTCCCCAACAGGATAACTCCGGCTCACTCTCCCCCATCCCACCTTACACACAGTCTCACACACGTGGGTCTCCTGTACCCCTGCACACACCTGCTGCTCCCAGGGATTCTGCCCACTTATCCATCTCCATCCATCCCGTGGCCTCCTGTGTGGCAGTTCTCATCTTCTTACTGGACTGATTCGCTTGCCAGGAGGGGGTAAACTGGAGTAGGAAGAGAGGGCCTAGAGGGACCAGCACATAGTTTTTCGGGAAGTCAGTGAAAAAACTGAGTCAACACTCAGGTCTGAGAATGAACCTGAGGCTGTACATGCGGCAAACGGCTGTGCCCCTCTGGTGACTAAGTTCCTGTGTGACGTTAGTGTACCTGCAGATTGTGGGTATCCCTAGGCAGTCTGCATGTGTCTGCTTGTGTGCTGTGGGCATGCCTGTGGCGTGTGCAAGTACCCAGGGTATGTAGATGAGCCTGTGCTCCAGGTGTTTCTCTATGATCCACACCTGGCTGGTCTGGAAGCCCCTGGCTGCTCTTCTCTCTGTATGCTCCGCCTCAGCTGGTCTGGGTTTCAGGGGAAGAGGTCAGTGCATGTGGGTGAAGGAGAGAGCAACACCAAAGCTAAGGCACTGGCCACAAAGGGCCTGAATCCCAGTCAGGGCTGTGGCCTTTCCACCCTTGAGTTAAGCTGGAACACTAACCCCAACCCCTCCCCAGCTCTGAGAGAGGCCAACAATTCTGAGAATTCTTGCTTCTTGGTAAGCTAACACCCAATTCCTGGGACATGTTTGGTGCCTCTTGCTATCTCTTCCTCCAAGACAGCTGCAGGGTTCTTTATCCCATGGGGGGGGGGGGGGGAGTGTCTAGGTTCCTCCCTCCCGATCACCTCCTCCATCATCCAGGCCGCCACTCACCATCTTATCTCCCTTACCCTTGCCCAGTCCCTCCCACAAAAGAGCCCCTAAAACGGGTTCCCAGACATGGTCCACAGCTTCTGACCCTCACACAGGGCCCCCCAGGAAGCTGGGCTCCAGGGCTCCCTTCTCTCTGCCTCCAGGTTCACCACACTGAGGGGCCTGCAGCTCTGTGCACCCCCGGAACAGCCCTGGGTGGGCCGCATCATTCGGAGACTGAAGCGGATCTCTGCCAAGGCAAGCCTGGCCCTCCCCAGCCCTGCCTCCTGCCTCCAAGCCCCTGGCCCCAGCTTCTGCCCCTGACCCTGCCTCTCCTTCCTCCCCAGGGCAAGCACCAGAGCAGTTAGCCCAGGACAGCACCACAGGGGGCCCTGTGTCTCAGTGAGGATGTGAATCACCCCGGCCTGGGGTCGGAGGACGAGGAGGCAGGAGCAGGCTCCCAGCTCCCCTGCACCAGGCCAGAGCCAGCCAGGGCAGAGCCTGCAGTGTCGACGAGAGTGTGAACTTGAGCGAGAAGGTGGTGTGTGAGGGCACAGCTTCTCCTCACCCAGACTGCAATGTTTCCAACAACGCCACTTGACACTTAGGGATCTGTCTGCTGCCTGTACATGGCTCAAGCAGGGGAGGATGGACAGGAGAGGGAGAAACAGAGTGGAATGGAGGGCAGGGCGGGGCGGGCTAGCCATCCTTCAGCGTTCACCAAGAGCAAACCTTCACCTCATTCATTTCTGGCCCCTCCCATAGTCAATCCAGCCACAAGGCTTTTTTCTCCCCTCCCCAGACCAAGTCTGGCTCTGCACCGAGCCTTGGCTGGGACATCAGAGGCCTGGGCCAGCTATTTCCTGCTTCCTACCCCGAGTTCACTGCCCTTTATTGGCATTCCCACAGCACCTTCCTCTTCCCCAAGCTACATTTAATGATGCGATTGTTCTCTTTTGACAACCTCCTGGGGTGGAAATTGCGCCTGGCTTCTTCACCGCTGCATCTCCAAGCCCAGCTCAGTGACTGGCGCCTGGCACACACTCAGTAAACATTTGTTGACTAAATGATTGTAAAAAAAAAAAAAATCACAGGAAATGGAGCTCAGCCATGACCCTCTGGCCGTTCAGTGACTTGGCCAAGGTCACTCGGCCAACAGTTATTTCCATAGTCTGGAAATAAGTAGAATCCTACACAGGGTTCTCTCTGGGGGCCTATTCCTCCTCAGTCCAGGGTCACTGAAGCGGAGGGAGGCAGTCAAGCAAGGGCAACTGGCAGGGCAGAGACAGGGAGGAGTAGACGAGGATGGAGACACGGAACGGGGAAGCCAGTCCTGGACCAAAGCCCTTTCTTGCTGCCTAGTGCTGAAGCCTCAGCGCCGCAGAGCTGAGCTCCAAAACCTGCTCCCAGGCCCACACAGTCCTACGCCCCACTCTTCATAAAAAGCCCGCCTCTGCCCCTTTCGCCCTGGGCTCCACCTCCTAGCGGGAGCTCTTGACTCCGCCCCTTCCGGTGATAAGCAAACCCCACCCCCGGTGCGCACCGGGGTCCCTGTGACGCACTGGTAACGGTCCGTTTCCGGGGTGGAGCCAGGGAGGGCGGGAGTTTAGGCTGCACCGACCCCCTCAGCCCCCCTCCAGGTGACCCCAGCCCCTGAAACTCCTCACCCAGGGCCCCAAATCTCCCAGTCCCATGACTGCCAAACCACTCGCCCTAAATGCCTCAGGCCCCGGAGATGACCGACCTCCTAACCCATTAATTTCTGGTGCCCCCAAATCTTCTATCTCATCCAGTCCCGATGTGGCTTACTGAGGCTTCCCGGGGGGCACCTGCCTCAGATTACCTGAGAGCTAGTCAGACTCGTCCTGAAAATGACGAAGAAGGGGACCTGGGGCTGGGGCGGGGGTGCTCCTTGATCCAACCATGCCGCCCCCCAGGAGACGCTCGGAGCCCAGGACATGCCGGGATTGAGGAGATACGAGGTGGCGCTGGAGGCGGAGGAGGAGTGAGTGGAGGCGGGGTTCTGCGGAGGAGGAACCAGGAGGCTCCGGGTGGGGGAGGGTGCGAGCCGTCCGGGGGCGGGAGGGGCGGGGCCTTGAGGGGGCGTGGGCTACGAGGGAGCCGCCCTCGCCAGGCTGGGCGGAGCCTTGCCCGAGGGGCGGGGTCTGTGGGGGTCAGCCCCGCCCGCCCGGCCCTGCTCGGCCTTCTCTCTGCAGGATCTACTGGGGCTGTTTCTACTTTTTCCCCTGGCTGCGAATGTGGCGGAGAGAACGAAGGTGAGGGGGCTGCGGCGCTGAAGCCCCTCCCCAGGTGTGGCCGAGGGTCGAGTCTCAGCAGACGGACTGGGGCGGGCGGGAATCCGGGAGCCCTCGCCCCGCCTCATGGCCGTGTCGGGTCGCCCCACAGTTCTGCACACCCGCGGGAGCAGAAGCTGGAGCCTCTGCGGGGTCTAATGAGCTGTCTGTCGAGCGGCCTGGGCCCTGCTCCCTCGCGTTCCGGTCGTGGCCTCCATTGCCGCACTCCCGCCGCCGCTGCCCAGGCAGCCGGTGCATTAAAGATTTAAAACGAAGCCCACCGTCCTGCCCTCCTGACTCTGCCGCCGGTGCCGCCGTTCGGGCTGGGAGCCCTTCTCCACACTGGCTGTGTGCGTCCTTACTGACAGGGCCTCCTTGCATGTCAATGCTCAGGGTCAGGCCTGCTGGTACTGTCAGCGCCTCCCCACCAAAAAAGCCAAACAAACGAAGCAAACAAAAAGAACCAGCACCCATCACCATGCACTCAGTGTGTCCTAGCCTGGCCTTCCTCCCGGCCTCATCCTCAGTGCTGTTACCACCTAGGTATCCTCCTGGCCAGGATTTTGCCAAGTGTCTGAAGAGTCTATTTGGGAGCAGCTATAAACCTTTTTAAGCCAGAACTGTAGGAAGTAGACTGAGGGAGGGTGGGGGGTATTCCTGAAAGCTAGCTGCCAGCCACAGGGGTGTGACTTTGCTACCCCAACTCCTGGGTCCTCCTGTTTGACCCTAAGTTAGAGCTACTTGGGATCAGCCCACCTAGCAGTTCTTGCTGCTTGCCTAGGGCAGTCTGAAAGCACTGCTCCCTGCTCCCCATCAGCCAGTACCCTGCTGGGAGTCAGGGACTAGCCCCACCACCAGAGAAGGGCACCAGAGGACGAGGTTAGAGACAGCCTGGTTTCTACTGGCACCAAGTCTGGCTCTGTGCCCGGAGCTGTCCCTGCTCCAGCAGGTTGGGACTGGGAGAAGACTTGGCCTTATCTTTGAAAAGGTCAAAGGAAAGAGATAGGTGCACACCTAGAAGAATTTGTTTCCTAGGAAAGACCAGAGTGTTGGCAGGAGCTGACGGAGGTCCATGACAAGGGGGTGGAACCTGGGAGATTTTCTGATGTCTCCACCCAGGCCCTGGGACATAAGTGGACTTGGGAATGGGAGGAGGACCCTAAGGCCTCTGGCACTAGAAGTTCCAGATGAATGACCTCTGGGTTGTGGTCATCTTCAAAAAATGTACCCAAACTCTTGAGCCATTTCCTCATATCTATGTCAGAGCCCTGTCCAGCCGGGGGCCCTTACCTCCCCATATCACTATCAGAAGACCTGAGGGCCCCCTAAGACAAATTCCACAGGGAGGGGCCGTCAAGCCAGGGAGGAGACGTCCAGGTCTTCAGTGTGGAGGGGACTAGCCCCTGTCCTGGGACCCAAAGTCCCTTGTGATTTTTGAAGCAACCCACAGCAGGAAGGGCTACTCAGAGTAGGTGCGAGTCCTATCCCAAAAGAAGACCTACCCCATAGAGGATGGCTGGTCCCAGGGCAGAAGACCGCACAAGGCAGAGCGCTGGATTATTAGGTTATGACTCAGTTTATGTCTCAGAGCAGAACAGGCCATGAGGATTGAAATCCCCAGACCAGGAGTGGACATTCGTCAGGGAGCCAGCGGCAGTAAACAGCAGCATGCCCCCTCCCTAGGCATTTTCCAGCTTCCTGGAAAGTGCTGGATCAGGAGGGGTAGGAGGTTTACACTGGGGGAAGTGGGATGAGGGGAGCCGGGCAATGGAAGATGGGATGCAGAGGGGCCAGGGGTTGGAGACGTGGGTATTGCTGAACTCTGGTGGAGAGCAGGGATGTTCCTCCAGGCCCGCAGTGGAGGCTGGAACTTGAGAACAAACGAAAAGTAACTGAGCTCTTGAGTTTGACTTCTCCAACAAGCTAGGGACTGAGTCTGCAGCCTCCAGGCCCCTACTGACAAGAGGCTGGCATTCCTGGAACAGGCTGAGGCAAAAACAGGTGAGATTTCATGAACTTTTCACCTGTTTTTGTTTTGCTTTTAAGTTTTCCTTTTATTTATTTTATAATTTGTAAAGGCATAGTGAAAAAGAAAGAGATTCTCCATCTGCTGGTTCACTCCCAAATGGCTGCAACAGCCAGGTCTGGGCCAGATTGAAACCAGGAGCCAAAACTTCATCCAGGGCTCTCACATGGGCAGCAGGGGCCCAAGCACTTGGACCATCCTCCACTGCTCTCACAGGCAGATCAGCAGGGAGCTGAACTGGAAGCAGAGCAGCCAGGACTCGAACTGATGCTCTAATATGGGATGCTGGCAACACAAACAGTGGCCCAACCCTCTGTACCATAACGATGGCCACTTTTACCTGTTTAGACAACAGCAGCCTGGCACCAGAGAGCTTTCATCTTTCCTTCTCATCCACCTCAACTTTGCTCCCTCTCTCTTCTTCCTGGAGGAAGAAGCCCCCTCAGCATCCCCAGGGCCTCGTCGGCACCATCAAAAAGGGCCTCGTCGGGATGGTGCTGTGAGTTAAGTCACCACTTGGGACGTCCACATCCCATATCAGAGTGCCTGGCTACTCCGCACTTCTGATCCAGCTTTCTGCTAATGCATCCTGGAAAGCAGATGATGGCCTAAGTACCTGGGTCCCCGCCGCCCATGTGGGAGACTAGAGTAGTTTGCCTGGGTTCAACCTTGCAAACCCCTGGCTGTTGTATTTGGGGAGTGAACTAGTGGGTGGAAGATTAGATAGATAATCTCACTCTGCCTTTAAAATAAATACAGCTTTTAAAGGGGGGTGGACTTCTCCTAGCTTCCCAGAATATGGCTGGCCTTAGCCAAGACCCCTCCTGAGCCAGAGGACTGCTTTGGGGACCAGTCCCCACCATTTCTCCGATAAGACAGACAGGCCAGGGCAGGAAATGGGGAGGGGAAAATGAAGGCAAGTTGATACTGGCCTGTTCTCTTCTCCCGTGCCACCCACAAGTCCCCCACGAGAGTCTGTGTGTGCCAGCAGGACTGTCTGATGTCCGTGGAAACACAACCGTGTGAGAGGGACTTCGTAGCTGGAGTGGTGTCATTTTTTGTCCGAGGCTGTCTGATCGTGGGTGTGACTTTGTGAGGCTGACTGAGTGATCAAGGTGTGACTGTGAATGTGCAGCTGTGTACGCATGAGCGTGACTGTCTCTCACTGGATGCCACTGCGGATCCTCGGCTGCCCTTAGTCACTGGGCCAGCAGTCCCCACATCCTGCACTGCCCTTTCCCCAGCTTCTCCGTTCAGGGCTTAGGAGCACATGGGAAATGGCAGCCCTAGAAGAGGAAGGGGTCTGTGACAACAGGCCAAGAATTAGGACCCAGGAGTGTCACAGGATAAGCAAGGCATCTCCACCTGCCTCTGACTCACCCGGTGCCTCAGGTAAAAGGCGCCCAGATAAAAGGTACAGGAGGAGGAGAGAGTAGGAAGTGTCTAGGCTGAGCAGCATGGAGGGGTGTTCACCTACCAGCAGGCTCCTGCTGCTGCTGTTGCTCCTGAGCCTGGACCCTGGAGCAGGTGAGTACGCGGGGGACACAGGTCTGGGGATCTGGGTGAATGCGATGAAGGGAAAGGGGCCCAGCAAGTCCAGCTCCAGCTGTCCGACAGAGGGGTTCTGGGTCTGGGCCCATCTGCATGTGTGCTGCATTGTCCCCTAGTGTTGATACTGCCACCCAGCACTACCTGCTGTACTCAGCTCTACCGACAGCCACTGTCAAACAAGCTACTGAGGAAGGTCATCCGGGTGGAACTGCAGGAGGCTGATGGAGACTGTCACCTGCAGGCTTTCGTGTGAGCGCTAACCCCACCCCGATCCCTCCAACTCTGACCTCAGCCCGATCCCCGACGCTGAGCCCAGCCCCAGACCCCACTACCAATTCGGACACTGACTCAGGTGTTCATCTGACCCCTGCTCCTAAGCCTGGGACACTACCCACAACCCCAGGTTATGGTCATGGCTTTGGACCCTTCCCTTCCCAGGCTTCATCTGGCTCGACGCAGCGTGTGCATTCATCCCCAGAACCGCAGCCTGGCTCGGTGGTTCGAGCGCCAAGGGAAGAGGCTCCAGGGGACTCAACCTGATTTCTGGGTTGCTAGGGAAAATGGGTTGGAGCCCCACAAAGCCCCAATAAAGCAACATTAGACAAGAATCTCTGTGTGTGATCTGCCAAGAACTTCTTCACTCTCTTTATTTGCACCTTCACAACCCTTGCAAGAGGTAAGGCCAAGAGTGAAGGACCTACACACACTCCCCAAGTACCTCCATACATACATACATACATGCATACATGCAGAGAACACAGGTTCCCTGCCTCACATACTCTTGGTCACACATGGATACAGACATCCACATCTACACATGTTCGTCAGGTAGACCTCCAGCTCTGGAATGAAATCAGCAGTCCAGGCACCTTTCAGCCTGCAAGTCTGGAATATGGGGTCTCCCAGAAATGGCCTCCAAGCACAGCTTCCAGCTGAGACCCCCTTCCACGGAGGTCTACTGTCCTGCCTGGGTTCTAGCTGTCCATCCATCTGCGCCAGCAAGACAGAGTTATAGGTAGAATCAGCTAAAGCCCTCCTGGGTCTTCTATAGGTTTGGAGCTCCTAGAAGAAGCAAGAGGCAAATTGTGAGACATCAGGACTGGGTCTGGGCCTAGACACTCTGGAAACTGCCCGAGTGGTCCAGGTGTGACTGAATGTGTCAGCTTTGATCTAAGGTACTCCAAGAGAAAGGATGACTATCCAGTTCTGAGTCTAACACCCTGAAAATGGGGGAGGGGGGGTCCTAGTGAAGTACCCAGATAGAAAGGAAAGGGACCCGCTGCTGAGCCCAGGGACTCAAGAATGGAAGGCCTAGGCCCAGCACAGTGGTGTAGGGGGTAAAGCTGCTGCCCGCAACACCAGCATCCCATATGGGCATTGGTTCATGTCCTGGCTACTCCAGTTCAGCTTCCTTCTAATGTGTCTCCTTTGGCACCCACATGGGAAACCTGCAGGAAGTTCCTGGCTCCTGGCTTTGGCCTGGGCCAGCTCAGGCCATTGTAGCCCATTGTAGTCATTTGGGGAGTGAATCAGCGGGTGGAAGATTCTTTTCTCTTTCTCTTTCTCTCTCTCTCTCCCTCCCTCCCTCCCTTTCTCCCTCTCTCCCCTCTCCTCTCTCTAGCTCTACCTTTAAAATAAATAAATTAAAAAAAAAAAAAGTCCCAAGCTCCAACCTAAACATAAGAATGAGAACACCCAACTCAGATTCTCAACACCTATAAAATGACTAAGATAGCTGGCTCTTTACCCAGAGCCTCTGAAAATGGGGGCACCCATTTCCAAGCCCAAACCTCCAAATCTCCTGGAAGTCCTACTAACCTGGAAGCTTGTCCACTGGAATCATCGGGGCCAAGAACCCAGGCTTTGGGGGTCCATCCTTCCCACTCCATCTCAGCCTCAGCCTGGGGCGTAAAAGGCAGCTGTCTCAATGTGGGACAGCCCCGTCTCCTCCCAAAGGGTTTTTAGTAAGGGTCAGGAAGGGAATCAGTGAGAATCATGACGTAGAATGGGGAGGGGTCAGCTGAATCGGTTTCGGTGGGCAGTCACGAGGGTGAGGACGAATGTGATCTCTGAGTAGAACAACTGTGGGGATCTGAGGCTGAGGGACCAGTGGCAGTCACTTACCACAGCCCTACTGCCAGAGCCCCCGCTGCCAGTCCCAGGAAAGAGAGGATTCCCAAAGACACCAGCACAGCCACATACTCCAGGGGGTCCCTGTGATCTGAGGAGGGCCACATGCCATTGAGAAGGAACCTCATCAAGCTTGCTGCCCCTCCTCCCTGGGGCTTTCCACCCTCTACAACCTTTGCCCACCCGCCCAAGCTCACCAAGTGGCCGCGGGTCTGGCTGGAGGGAGGACCGTGGAGGAGCCGGGCTGTCGACCCGAGGATCCACCTCTGGTTGCGTGTGTACCTGGGTCCCAGGTGCTATCTCCTTCGTCAGGGGCCCTGAAGGAACACAAGACCTGAGAAGTGTCCACGTGAGCAGTAGGTCAGGGGCCAGGTCCTGGGGATGGGCAAGGGCCCCAGTGGGACACAGGGTGCCAAGGAGGTGGAGCCTGAAAGGCTGTGGTCAGTTGCTGGGGTCCTAGCTTGGAGTAAAGGCTTTAATCACAGGAACGGGGAGGAGGAGCAGGGCTTAACCTGAGGCAGGGCTACAGGCCTAGGACAGCAACTGCAGCGCCTGCGCGGGTAGGGCTGTGCTAAGGCCGCCTGCCTTCTGCAAACCCTTCCAGCTGAGGGATGCTTTGGGGTAGCACCTCTGCCCTTGGCTTTTCACTTTGTCTCTCACCAGCACTTGGAGTTCCCCAGGCTTCCGGGCTCCAGGCACTCCAGGTGCCAGCGTCCAGAAAGTCCCGGGCACTGACGCGCACGGCATGGGGCAGCCCAGCCACAGCGTCGGTGATCACCTCCTCCAATCCCACCGGCTCCACCTGGGGGTGAAGATGGTTCCTCTGTGTGCTATCTAGGCTGTGGGAGCACAGCCCACCAACCCAGTCCTCATCTGCAAAGAGCTCCCGTTCCTCCCAGCCTGGTGGAGCTGTCTAGACTTCACCTGGGGACCACTTAGTGCTTGGAAGTCGGTAGTAAAGTAGTGAGTACTTAAAGGCAGCTGGTGCCCAGACTGCCTGGCCTCAAATCTTCGCTAAACCACTTACTGGGTGAACTTTGGGCCTCCTAGTGCCCCAGTTCATTTGTAAAATATATAAATACCTAATGAATAAGCCTAAATGAGATAATGTAGGTACAATATGCATCATGGACCTGGCAGGCAGACAGCACTAAACAAATACTGGTTATTATCTGATGCTGCCGCTCCCCAGACCTGATGCCAACCAATCTTATCTCCAGAGGTGGAATTCACTATCAACTGAGTGATGACTGTTTATGTAAAGATGTGCCTCTGGGTGGAAGGCACTCCCTTTCTTCGAAAAGTTGTTTTTTAAAAGGCACTGCTGTCTTCCCGCAGCTGTGGGCTTATATTATCGTTACAGCCCTGCAGGGCAGAGACTGTCCCCTCTGCAACCCCAACACCCAGCACAAAACCTGGCCCACGGGGAGCACATGAGTATGTGTGCATGCGAGTGTGAGTGTGTGTGTGTGTGTGTGCAAGCACACGGAATGCACCGTGGGGGTGGGCATGCATCAGTGAACTGCCCGAAACAGAAGCTACACAAAACACGTAGGATCATGAAAACAAAGTGCATTCCAACTTAGAACCCTGCACTGCGGTCCTTACCGTGGACCAGGCTAGATGCTGCGCTGGGCGGTACTGCAGCCGGAACTTGAGCAAGAAGTGGGGCTGGCGGGGCCAGGAGGCAGGGTATGTCCAGCTGGCACGCAGGCGTCTGGGGTAACCGGGTACAGACTCCACCCGCAGCCCCTGGGGTGGGTCAGGGCGCACTGGGGGTGGCAAGGCACAAAGGTTAAGCGACAGACATCTTTCCCACCATTTCCAGGACGTGTGCTTAGTCAGGTGTTTCCAAGAAGGGAAATCTTCAACTTGATCATTCATTAGGCTCAGTATCTGTCATCCTTATAAAAGAAGCTGAGATCTGGGGTTGGGGGTTTTGAATTGAGTGAATAATTCTTTCCTTCCAAGGAAGATGAATCGGCCCAATTCTAGCCAGAGTTTTACTGCTCTCCTCCCTCCCACACACAGATCAAGAGGCAGGGGCTTCCCTTGGGTAGGAAGCACATGAGAGATGATGCTTTCAGCTCAGGGCCTAGAAACAGGGATCAGCCCCGGGGCTAGGCTGCGAGGAAGGACCTGTGGGCAGCGGCAGCAGCTCCAGAACGAGTGCCACGTGGCCCCTGGGCTCTGATCCCTTCGACTTCTTAGTCTCCAGGGGTCATCTATGTGTGAAATGGAGTCTGTGAGGAGAGGGAACTCTTTAGAAGCTGGGGTGGGGTGGGGGAGAGGCGTCTGAGTCTGTGGGCGCCTCTGTGATGGGCATCTAGGGGAGATCCGGCTGGGTACTCACAGATGTTCTGCAGGCTCACGTCCAGCAGCCGCGTGCTGGCACCCAGTGGGTTCACCTCGGTCACATTAATCCGGTACTGGCTCCAGAACTCTGCCCCATGGACCACACAACGGGCAGCCCCTACGGGGTCCTGTGGGCATGGCCAGGGCCCTGTGGATGGACTCATCCTAGGAGCAAGGATGTGGTCTTGGTGCTTGGAAATAAATGCCCATCGTGGGTCCCAGCTGGAGCCCCCAGTCTCTCCCACTTGTCCTACCTCTGACCATCAGCTCCTGGAATGGTCTTCTTCCTGAGGGGAAGGGGTCATCTAAGGACAGGAAGGACAAGAGGGCCCTCCGCCCTCTCTGAGGCTGTCCTCAGGACCCCCTCCCTGCCTCCTGTACCCACATGGAGCCAGCACCCCCCAGTGTACAGGCACACACATCTGGTCGTGCACACACCTGTAGGAGGTGAGGTAGCGGGTGGGTAAACCGCTGACCTGGCTGGAACTCCAAGTGCAGGAGAAGTTCTCATAGTCAGTTGCTTGGCAGGAGACAACAGGGCGGGCTGGGGGATCTGGAGGCAGAGGGTGCAGCTGGAGACTGGGCCGTTCTCGGGGCCCAGATTCCCTCAGGAGCACCACGCCTCATCACTGCCATCCTCCCCAACTTACAGCCCAGCTGCAGGGTCACCATGCCCCAAAGTGCCCCATCCAGGGTCCGGCAGATGTAGTTGCCCTCGTCAGTGTGGCCTACGTGGGTCAGGACCAATGCATGTCCCAACCCAGAATCAGGTCCCTGGAGCAGCCTTGGCTCCCCGTCCCGAAACCAGGACACCAGGGCCCTGGAGGTGAGATAAGATGAAGACAGAAAATTTAAAGTGTACGTCAGATCATGCCACAGCTCCGTGGGCTTCTAGTTGCACCTGCAATACAACCCAAATTGCTTACACTGGCTCATTAAGCCCCTCGCATGCGATCGAGCCCCTGCCTTCCTCTCCTTCTCCAGCTTCTACTTCTCTCCCCTCATCCACTGCACTCCGGTTACACTGGTTTCCTTCTGAAGTGCTGAGTTCACTCCCATCTCAGGGTGCTTGTACTAGCTGTCCCCTCCACCAGGGATGCTTGCACCCTAATCTGTGCATAAC